CCCTGGGGAGATTATAGTCAAGTGGGATTTAATGTTCTCAGAGGTAAGCATAAGGGCCCTGTGGCTTGGGGGTTGTGGGGAGTGCCGAAGAGGGCATCTTCTCCAGTCTGGTGAGTTCTCAGAGCACGGGGCAGCTGAGGGTGAATGAGGAAGATGCGGGTAGTGGGAGGAGAAGGGTGCTCCGGGCAGGGTGCACAGCTTGGGTAAAGGTCTGGCTGAGGGGAACCGTGCAGTACAGGCGAGGGGCTCTGGCTGGTGAGGACAGAACTGTTGGCTGGTTTAGAGAACCGCACCGCCCCCCACCCCCACCCCGGCTCTCCATCCTACCACTTCCCAACCAGCAGGTGACCCAGGCCGAGTGCCAGCTGCTTTCGACCTGTTTCCTCTGGAAGCCTGATCTGGCTCCATGGCTCCTCCCTCACAGCTGGTGTAGGTGAGGGGCAGGACCACCGGCCATTGTTCTTCTGAGTCTGGCAGCCTGGATTGGTGCCACGATCCAGGGGTGGGTCTCTAGTGGTCTCCAGTGGTCTCCAGTGGCCTCTTCCACCTCCCCCACCCCATACCCTGTCCTACTTACAGGGGCAGCGAGGCAGACCTAGCACCCCACTCCCTGTCACTGCAGAGGGTGCGTGCCTGTGCACGGATTGCATCAGCCTTTTGCATAAGTTGTGCCCCCCCCGCCCCCCCATTGCTAGTTGAAGGTTTCAAAGCCCTGGGTGCTGGGCTCTGAGGCCCCATGGGGTTCACGAGGCCTGGGGACCCCAGACTGAATGTCAGGTTGGCTCTCGCTCTCGGGAGCCCTCCTCCTTGCGTCTCTTTTCCCTCCTGTTGAGAACCTTATCGCCCCCATGCTGAGCGCTCACCACAAAGCCATCCTGCACCAATTCCCGTTGAGGGGTCAGGCCCTGAAGTCCAACTGCTTGGGACGGGGCAGGGCGGTGCTGTGATCACCACCCACAAAGTGGGGCCCTGCTAGCCTTCACTGTGGAGTGCTGTGAGCACTTTGGTAGCCTTCCGGAAATGTGTGCAACAGTGTCCGGCACACTGAGCACAGTTAGGACGACACTTTGCAACGCCCTCCGTAGCCCCAGAAGCATCCACACCCATATGTGTACTGCCTCAGCCCCCTCCCCCCGTTCCCTCATGCTTCCCCCACCCCCACCCCGCAGCTGCCATTTCCCAGACAGGAGCAGTCTATTCCTGCCTTGGTACACTATTTGACACGTTTACAAATATTTATTGACCGCCTCTCTCTGTTCTGATGAGCTAATCATGAACAAATCTGCCAGCATGCCTGCCCCCTCTGGAGTTGACAGTCTCCTTGGAGGAGTACCTATCTACACAACTTTTTTTTGGCTGCGCTATGCAGCATGCAGGATTTTAGTTCTCCAACCAGGGATTGAACCCGTGCCCCCTGCAGTAGAAGCATGGAGTCTTAACCACTCGACTGCTAGGGAAGTCCCCTGTCTACAACTTTTAAAACAATACCCGTCTCCCGTAGAGGCTCATTCCTGAGTCACTCACCCCCTTCTCTCTGTCCCCGCCGCTGATGCTGGGAATTCTCCCAAAGCTGGTCTGGGCCCAGTCTCGCTTGCTCCGGGCTTCCCATTGCTCACTCTCAGACATTCATCCTCACCAGGCCAGGGCCCACCTGTCCCACACCCTGTGCCGCTTTCCAGCCACACTGGCTCCTTCCTGCCCAGGACTGTTGGTTGCTCTCTCCATCTCCCCATCTTTACCTCGCTCACTCAGTGACACACTCACCCCAACTAAAATCACGCCCTGTGGCTCCTCACTAGACAGTGAGCTACATGTGGGCACAGCCAGTCCTCTTCAGGACCATGTCCCCAGCACCTTGCAGTCCATCGGGTGGGTTGGATGTATACCTCCCCATTTTACACATAAACAAACTGAAGCACAGAGAGGTGAGCGGCTGGCCTGAGGTCATGCAGCTTCAGAGTGGGGCTAGCAGCAGAACCCAGGTCTGAGGGACTCTAGCTCCACCGCATGCATGTCCTGCCTTGGTCCTCCCCCTTGGGGTGTAAGCCTTCCAAGCCAGGGGTCTAGAGCACCTCTCCAGGGACTAGAGGCCAGGCAGCCTCTTCCTTGGCTGCCTCAGCCCTGGTCACTTGGGCCCTAGTACCCGGGGGGTCTTCAGTTTGGCAGCCTGGGGAGGTGGGTCAGGGCTACCAGGGCCCTGGAGGAGGCTCTCTGGGCTCTATCCTTTGCCTCCTCTTGGTGCCTCAGTTTCCCCTACCGCCTCATTCAGAGGCCCAGCTCTGAATGAGGCGGTAGGGGAAACTGAAGCACCAGCTCCTAGCCTGTCCGGCCCTTAGTTTGACCTCCTGGGACGTGCATGCTGCCGTCTAATTAGGATTTCCCTGTCTCTGCCTCCCCCTCCTGATTGCCTTTTTGTTTTTCGCGGTGGCGACAATGATTTTGATGAGGAAGAGGAGGGTACAGCAGAGGGGAATCATGGATTTCAGTGCCCAGACAGATCTGGGGGAGCCAGGACTCACCCTTGCCCTGAAGTGCACCTCTGAGCCCATGGGCACATGGCCCCTTGTGTTCCTCCAGGTAGCCCTTTCTGAATGAACCTGGGTAGGGCCCAAGTCTTCACTGCATCCCCAATCCTCAGCCCATCGAGGCAGCTTAGAATAGACTGGTTAAAGAAAAAAAAACTGAAAGATGCATGAGAGCTAACATGGGAGTGAGAGACGAACAGCTGGGGGCTCTAGTTAGTTCCTGCCTCAGGGCCTTTGCACACACTCTTCACCTTTTTCCTCTTTCTTCTCACCAGCCTGACACTCTGCTCAGGCCTCTCTTCTCACCCATACCTGCCCATTCAGGACGACTGCCCTCCACAACTATAGAATGGCAGGGGACTCAGTTTTACCAATGGGGGCACTTGTAAAGCCATATCTTCCCTCAGAGCCCTTTTATGATTACCCCCAGAGCATCAGACATGCTGTCCTCACCCGACCAGTTCTTCCTCCTGGGTTGGAACATGCACTGATGGAATAGGCTCTGATGCAGAAGGTCACACATTTGAGAGGTGCCAGGGCCCCCCAGGTGGTACTTCACAGGTCAGGATGGGGGTGGGCTCCCTGAGCAGGATCTCATGCAGTTCCTTCAATTCACATTTCTTTCTCCACCCACCCCTCAAGCACTTTGGGGTGAATTGTTTGTGGTGTGATTTCACACACTTTATTTTTTTATTTTATTTTTTAAAATTTATTTTATTTTTGGCTGCGTTGGGTCTTTGTTGCTGTGCGCAGGCTTTCTCTAGTTGAGGCGAGCGGTGGCTTCTCTTGTTGCAGAGCATGGGCTCTAGGCGCGCAGGCTTCAGTAGTTGTGGCTCACGGGCTCTAGAGCGCAGGCTCAGTAGTTGCGGTGCACGGGCTTAGTTGCTCCGTGGCATGTGGGATCTTCCCGGACCAGGGCTCGAGCCCGTGTCTCCTGCACTGGCAGGCAGGTTCTTAATCACTGCACTACCAGGGAAGTCCCACACACTTTATTTTAAATATTATTTACTTTTGTAAATAGGCAATACATTCACCAGGTTCAAAATTTAAAAGACCCTAAGATGGAATTCCCTGGCAGTCCAGCGGTTAGGACTCTGAGCTTTCACTGCCAAGGGTCTGGGTTCAATCCCTGGTCAGGGAACTAAGATCCCACAAGCCGTGTAGTGTGGCCAAAAAAGACCCTAAGAATGTACATGGTAAGTGTTGTCCCCAGTTCTACACAGAGGACATTAGTCTTATGGTTTCTTTCTTCCTTTTACAGCTTTATTGAGATGCATATACCAAGCAGTTCACCTGTTTAAAGTGTACAGGTTCAGGAGTTTTTAGTATATTCAGAGTTGTGCATCTATCACCACAATTTCTGAACATTTTTCACGAGGGCAAGAAGAAACCCTGCACCTGTTTGCTCACACTCCCCTAATCCTCCAAGCACCCCCAGCCCCAGGCAACCACTAATCTGCTTTCTGTCTCTTATCGATTTGCCTGTTCTGGACGTTTCATATAAATGGGATTGTATAATACGTGGTCTTTTTGTCTGGCTTCTTGCATTTAGCACAATGTTTTCAGGGTTTATCCAAGTTGTAGCATGTAGCAGTAGTGCATTCCTCTTTATGGCTGAGTAGTATTCCATTGTGGATTGACCATATTTTGTTTATCCATTCATCAGTTGATGGACATTTGGGTTGTTTCCACCTTTTGCCTATTGTGAACAGTGCTGCTGTAAACATTCACGTACAGGTGTATGTGTGGATATATGTTTTCAGTTCTCAGGAATAATTCCTAGAAGTGGAATTCCTGGGTCATATGGCAACTTCATGTTTAACCATTTGAGGAACGGTTTTCCACAGCAGGTGCACCATTTCACATTCCCACCAGCAGTGTAGGAGCGTTCCGGTTCATTTCTCATCCTCACCAATACTTATCTTCCTTATTCTAGCCAGCCTAGTGGGTGTGGAATGGTGTCTCATTGTGGTTTGGATTTGCATTACCCTGATGACTAGTGATGTTCTCATGCAGTTTCAGGGTTTCTCGAGTGGTCATTCAGTCATTCAGCAAATGGTGATTGAGGGTCACGTGCTCAGCACTGCAAACGCAGTGTGAAAAATCGGATGACTCTGCCTTCTTGGTGTCTCTATGCCTGTTACCCTATGTGTGTAGTGCTAGTGGTGGTTAATGCTCACGGGGGGCTCACTGTCTTATCTCATTTAATATTCAAGCACAGACGTGTAAGTATGCCTTTGCCCTCCTTTCTGCAAAGGGACGGCATAGGCCACCCCGGCCTATAGCTGACTTAGCTGATTTGACAGTCTGTCACAGAGGAAAGGCCATGCTGGGACAGGAGTGGGCGGCACCTGTGATTCTTACAGTCGTGGCAAATTCCACCACGTGGATGTCCACGCTCCCGTGTGTCTCCCTGCAGCGGGCTGAGTCTGCCATCTGACCCTGTCCCTCCGTCTCTCCCTGTCCCCTGCGCAGCCGCCGCCGCCATGGCCCAGACCCTGCAGATGGAGATCCCGAACTTCGGCAACAGCATTCTGGAGTGCCTCAACGAGCAGCGGCTGCAGGGCCTGTACTGTGATGTCTCAGTGGTGGTCAAGGGCCATGCCTTCAAGGCCCACCGGGCCGTGCTGGCCGCCAGCAGCTCCTACTTCCGGGACCTGTTCAACAGCAGCCGGAGTGCGGTGGTGGAGCTGCCGGCAGCTGTGCAGCCCCAGTCCTTCCAGCAGATCCTCAGCTTCTGCTACACGGGCCGGCTGAGCATGAACATGGGTGACCAGTTCCTGCTCATGTACACAGCGGGCTTCCTGCAGATCCAGGAGATCATGGAGAAGGGCACAGAGTTCTTCCTCAAGGTGAGCTCCCCCAGCTGTGACTCCCAGGGCCTGCACGCCGAGGAGGCCCCCTCGTCCGAGCCCCAGAGCCCTGTGGCGCAGACGTCGAGCTGGCCGGCCTGCGGCACCCCACTGCCCCTCGTGTCTCGCGTCAAGACAGAGCAGCAGGAGTCGGACTCTGTGCAGTGCACGCCCGTGGCCAAGCGGCTGTGGGACAGCAGCCAGAAGGAGGCCGGCGGTGGCAGCAGTGGCAACGGCAGCCGCAAGATGGCCAAGTTCTCCACGCCGGACCTGGCCGCCAACCGGCCGCCCCAGCAGGCCCCGGTGGTGGCGGCGGCACAGCCCACCGGAGTGGCGGGGGGGCCCGGGGCCGGGCAGCCGGCGGGCGGCGTGGCAGCAGCGGCAGGCGGAGTGGTGAGTGGGCCCAGCACGTCGGAGCGGACCAGCCCGGGCACCTCAAGCGCTTACACCAGCGACAGCCCCGGCTCTTACCACGAGGAAGATGAGGAGGAGGACGCGGGCGAGGAGGGCACAGACGAGCAGTACCGGCAGATCTGCAATATGTACACCATGTACAGCATGATGAACGTCGGCCAGACCGGTGAGGTGCCCCACCACAACCCCAAGCCTGGCCCCTCGCCCCCGCCCCCGCCCCCACCCCCAACACACCAATTTCGCCCCCGACAGCCGAGAAGGTGGAGGCCCTCCCTGAGCAGGTGGCTCCCGAGTCCCGGAATCGCATCCGAGTGCGGCAAGACCTGGCGTCTCTCCCTGCTGAGCTCATCAACCAGATCGGCAACCGTTGCCACCCCAAGCTCTACGATGAGGGTGACCCCTCTGAGAAGCTGGAGCTGGTAACAGGTGGGCTGGCCTCACATGCTCCCTGAATTCCCCCTTCCCCACCTTGGGCCTCGATGCCCTCTGGGCCAGCAGCCTGCAGCACAGTGCTTAGGAGCCAGGCTCAAGGTCCAACCCCAGCCCTGCCGCCCACTGGCTGTGTCCTGGGGCAGCTGACACCTCTTTGCATTGATACAAATCAAAGACTGGCTTGTAGCTTTCCACCCCGGAGGCTGGTGTAAGTGTGGGCCAGCATTGTTGGCCACATGGGAGTAGATCAGTGGTTTCATAGTGTGGTTTGAGGGTTGATCAACAGGGTGGTTAAGAATTTGGCCCTCGGACTCAGGGTGTCAGGGTGCGAGCATCTGCTGCCTGTTCTTTCTGATGCTGGTGGTTTTGTGGGCAAGGGCCCCGGCACGTTGGGTGCCCCGTGGACGGTGGCGCCACAGTCTCTGTCCTTTCCTGAGTGTTGAGGAGGACGCTCTAAGTTGAGTGGTTGGGGTGGGGGGCGGGGGGGGGTCTTGGTTGGGCCCAGGACAGGGCTTGGCCGAGTGGGGAACATGGCGGTTTGCCCCCCACACCCATCATCCTCTGGCTCCGCGCCCCCCCTCCAGGCACCAACGTGTATATCACCAGGGCGCAGCTCATGAACTGCCACGTCAGCGCGGGCACGCGGCACAAGGTCCTGCTGCGGCGCCTCCTGGCCTCCTTCTTTGACCGGTGAGGCCCATGCCAGAGCCCCGATGTGGGGGAGGACGGGGTGCCCCATGCCCCCACCACCACCACCACAGGGGGCCTGACTCCCCTCCCCCATACCCCTCGCCCAGGAACACGCTGGCCAATAGCTGTGGCACCGGCATCCGCTCTTCCAGTAACAACCCCAGCCGCAAACCGCTGGATAGCCGCGTCCTGCACGCTGTCAAGTGTAAGTGTCCACCTTTCTGGAGTCGGGATTGGGGGATGGAGGTCTGGGGCGGGCAGGTGGTCCTTTTCTCTGGTGTTGGCCCTGATGGATGGGTAGGTAGGGTTTGGTATTAAGAAGGATTCTGAGGTTCAGTCTAGGCTTGTTGGGAAGAGGGCTGTGATTGGTTAGAGGGTTCTTGGTTAGAGATTTCTTGAGGGGGTGGGTAGGACACTGAAGGAAAGCCACAAAGCCTATGGGAGGGGGGGTCTCAAACTTATCCTGGTCATCAGAGTGATGAAGTGGGCAGGCCTCAGCCAGTTGTCAGGAGGGAAGTCTAGGTTTTCAAGTGGAATCTCCCAGTTTCTGAATTCTGGCAAATGACCCACGTTTTTCAAGAGCACTGGGCCATCCCGCATCAAATCCACACATCCCATACGCATGGCCAAGCTCTGTCAGTCCTGGGCCCACTGATGTGGTTTAGCGTGCTGTCCGCAAGGCCTCAGTTTCCTCAGCTCCAAAGGGGGCGTTCAGGGCTGCCATGGTTCCGGGGCCGGGGGGATTCAGGAGCAGCGCCCGTTGGGAGGGTGGGAGGCCCAGGCCACGCTCGGCATGAGCTACCCATTCTGCCCGCACAGACTACTGCCAGAACTTTGCTCCGAACTTCAAGGAGAGCGAGATGAACGCCATCGCAGCCGACATGTGCACCAATGCCCGCCGCGTTGTGAGGAAGAGCTGGATCCCCAAGGTCAAGCCGCTTATGGCCGAGGGTGACGCCTACACCACCTTCATCAGCTACACGGGCAAGATAGAGCCGGACATGATGGGTGTGGAGCACGGCTTCGAGACGGCCAGCCATGACGGCGAGGCCGGCCCCTCGGCCGAGGAGGCCCTCCAGTAACCCCCACCGGACCCTCCCGCGGGGCCGTCACACTCCCCCTCCTGTCACACCCGCCCGGCATCTTGGTCACGAGCTACTGTCTGTCCTTCCCCAGGACCCGCGGGGGGCACTGCATGCTCCTGGCCCCTCTGCCTCCCCGTCCCACCCCCTGACCCCAATCCGATCAGGGATCCGGGCTGGGAGGGGACGGCAGGTGGTGCGAGGTCTGCGTTGCCTTCTCTAGCACACACTCGTGCACAGTCGGGGGGCTCTTGCTCCCCCTCTCCTAACCCCTAGCAACTGTCTCCCCACTCACCAGGCCAGGCACAGGGAGGGGCTGGCCTGGGGGGCTTGGGAAGACCCCCTTCCCAGGCGCTGGGCCACCTAGCCGGAGCATTCCTCAGCCTCCGCCCCCCACTGCAGCCCCTTGGGGACTCACAGGGGCCCCGGGTTCTCAGGACCCCTCCCGCCACCACCTCCCAGTGCTTCCACGTTTCCGAAAGCGCCTTCCTGTCTCCCTTGTCTGTCCCTGCGCCTGGGGGCTGGGGTAGGCGAGGCCGTGAGGACTGCCCGTTTTACAGCTGAGGAAACTGAGGCTCAGAGAAACTCCATGACCGACCTAAGGTGGCGGGCGGTGGCAGGCCCAGCGCCCTTCTCTTCCCCCACCTGTGCTCAGCCTCTCTTGCTGCCACCAGCCCCCTGGGGCCTGAGAGGGGCAAGTCCTGAGAGGGGGCCCTTGGGGGCAGACCGAGGGTCTCTGAGAGTAGGAGAGGTTTCCGGGGATCGCAGAAGCGTGTGGGTGTGCGTGTGTGTGTGTGCGCGTGCGTGTGTAGAAGTTTTGCTTTTAAACGAAGATGTGAGAGGCAGTAGGACCAGGGGTGGAACCCAGGGGAGCAGGCTGGGGGGTGCTGCTGCCTTTCCCTCTCTTCCCCCACCCCCACCCCCCACGGCAGGGCTCCCAGCCCCCACCCCCTGTACATACTTTTTAAAACATTTTTTTAGCTAATGAAATATTGAAGTATAAGATTCCTTTTATTTTTCAAACCAACGGGACCGTGTCTGATGTCCCCTTCGGTCCTCGGGGCTGTGGAAGGCAGGACGGAGTGGGGAGCCAGGGGCAGGCTGAATGTGCGCGTGTGTGTGGAGTGGGGGCGCGCGTTGCCGAGGGGGGGCCCCCCAGGCCCCGCTCTGCCTGGGCTCCCGTGGGTCTGGCCAGCTCACACTCAACCCCAGGGCCTCCCCCCAAGGGCTACATTGCAAGGGTGTCCCTGGTTTGTCCAGTTGGCTGAGTCCAGCTCCTGGCAGGGCCGGGTCCGCTTCATGGTTAAAGATTGTTTGCAGAATCTTCTTTTACCATTCCTCTCTTTCTATCCTTGGCCTAGCTCCACGAGTGGTTTTGTGGTTTTTTTTTTTTTTTGAGTTCTACATGTAAACTCGGAGGGTTCTTTTTGTTTTTTTAACTCTCCCCCCCCCCCCGCACCCC